AGATGTAGGGATCACAGTGTGATATGATTTAGGTGTTGCATAACTGTCTACACTGCAAATTGGCAGTTTACTAGTGAAGAGTGTGAAACCTACGAACAGAATAGTAATTCTTATACATACATAATAGCAAAATTAAAATATTTTTCTGGGGACCCTCTGGAACACCCTAAATGATCCCCGTGGTTTGAGAAGCACTGTTTTAGAGGATGTTCTCTTTTCACCAAAAACACATCAACATCATGTTGTGATATCTTAATATAATGACTGTGGTTCAACTTGTCTATACTGTAATCGGAAATGCAAAAACAATAATCGGTTTGTTGAGTAAGTTCCTCAAATTGTCCCAGCACTGGTTTTGTTACAGTCATTTAACTCTGCTGCTCAGTCATAAGATTTCAGATGATCCTCTGCTGTACATTCCAGTGAACTCTGACAAATAGGTACTTCTGAAGTTTACTGACACAGTGAAGCTACAAATTAGTGGTCATTTTCTTTATAATTACATTTTACAATTAGCCAACAAATTTTTCCTTCACTGCCTGCTATGATAAGCAGCACTATAACAGATCGTACAGTACATACAGACCATAAATTATATGTGATGATGCACACAGTATCACATTAAGACAGATATATTGATTTATGCTGAAACGGCAATAAATTAGATAATCAGATAAACAAAAATATTTACAGTATCTAAAATGTGTGGATTTGCTGCTTTTGTATTCTCTGCTCTAAGCTATTTTAAATAGAATATTTTAAAATGATATTATTTGGTAATGAAAATAACCACTGGTTGCAGTCCTACTTGATTTCATACCTAAAAAAAAACACTGTGGCAAGAGCTGAAATTGGCTTTTTAGGGAACACCAGCCCAGGTCATTCTGGTGATCTTCTGAACAAACGACACAATTTACTGACCACTGAGTTTAACAGAAGTGCTTCAGCAAATAGAGCAATAAAAAGAAGTCTCTCTGTAGAAAGAGGATAAAAGAGTCCATTGATACACACCAACACACACACACACACACATATATATTTATATATATATATATATATATATATAGATATATATAAATAAACAGTAACGTTTGTA